GGAAAATGAGGCTCAGCTAAGCTTGGGACAGAGAGAGAGAGAGAGAGAGAGAGCAACACACCAGTGACCTTCTACGAAAAGGCATTTTTCCTTTTTTTTAAGTTATTCTGGGTGCTCAGTACCCCAGGCCACTCCATCTGTTCTAGAAGATGACAAGTCAGAATACCAGCTACCGGTACTTGGGCTCTTTCTAAAAGAGTCCAGTGTCTAAAAGAAAAGAGATCAGTTCTGCTGATCAATGCTGATTTCTAGAGGCTGGAGAAAAACGTAGGGAAAACAAAACTCAGAACCCAACTCGATCTCTCCTGACTGTGTTGAATGCATTAGGTAGAGTCTTGACAAGGCAATGAACTCATTCTACTAATTGTAATTAGTGTGAGGTCTTTGGCAGGTTATTGGGCTCCTCAGACTTCAGAGGGCTTTGATCGCCTCTTGCTAACTGGTTTAGTGTGTTTTTTAGGCAACAAAAGCAACCACTACCTACTCTTTAGAAAACAAGCGAGGCTGGGCTTTAGAAAAAGAATTCTCCGTTGTTTTCATTTGTCCTCCAAATCGTGTAGAACGTTCTTTCTCTATTCAGCCCCTTGGAGTTGCTAAGAAACTGCCATTTAAGAGGAGGGGTAATTAAATTTTGATTTCAATTTAAGGACAGAGCCGGCAAGGTTCTCTACACTCCTTACATGAATGGGTGCCCCAGAGCAGGGGACGTGCTGTTTCCAGATCAATACTGGGCACTGAGTGTGATTCGAGTCTCTGGGTGTTTTGCTGCCGAGAGAACAGCTTTGAAATGGTTCTTTGTGGCAAGCACTGCTGAACTTTTGGGGAGAAATACTCAGGAGACCAGTGTGTGCTGGGAAACCAGCAACTCTGGGCTTGATTAATTTATAGGTGTAATTTAAGAACCTGGTCTCCTTCTGATCCCCGGGATGCGTATTTACTGAGCCTGTAGGCATGAGGCCTCTCTGCTCCGTGGACTTTTTTTATGGCCTTTGCTATGTCAGAGCAAAAGTTGTAGATCTCTTATGAGCCAAGCATATTATTATGTCCAGAGGAGGACTGGCATGTTATAAAGTTTCAGTGGTCAATTAACAAAGATTTATTCTTTGTCACTCAGGTATTTTCTTTTTCTCAATAATTACCTCTTGGAACGAAGCAGGCTGTTTTCCGCCTGTTCTTTCTGATTGTGACGCCCAGCGTCAGGGCCAGGACTTGGGAGGGTCAGTCTCGAAATTCAGACTCGTAGCTGCTGGGCCTTCTGCTTGAGGAAAGTGGACTCACTTGGAGCTCTTGACAAAAGGGAGTGAGAGAGAGAGAGAGAGAACTTGTGGGGGAGAGCATGTATTTTTTAAAGCACTTCAGTCTGTGTTTACTACGCATCAATTTGGTGGAACCTCATTCCAGCCGGGCAGCCAGTGCCCCATCGGCAGCAACCGCGCCCTCTGGGCTTAGTTCCCTTCTCTCTCAAGTTGGAATTCACATAGAGGCCCGAGAGTCACTCCTTTAAAGGTGCGCGACCTGGTTCGGGTCTGCGCACTGACCTTCTGCCACCTGTTGTGCTCAGAATGTGTATTTTCAAAATCGCGCTAAGGACACAGGTTGAGCTGTTCATCAGCTTTTTGGTTTTCCTTATATTTATTTCACTGCCCCTGGAAAGAGAAAAATCTGTTTTCTGTAAGATCTGAGAGTTCAACATGCAGTAAGAGAACCTTGCCTAAAACTGTAAAACATTCCTGGTAGAGAGGCTGTGATTTTTATCATCCCATAGAAGACCGAGAGATGGGCCAGCTCTGAGTTTTAGTCCGTGACCCAGAGATAATTCATTGACTTCTTCTTTTTATATCGGCCTGTTGCCCAAAGCTTGGGAACCTGGGGGATTTGCTCTGCCTGGGGCCTGGTGAGGTTCCAGGGAGAGCACATTAGCCCTTGGGGGGGGGTCCCTGTGCCCACCATCACTGCCTTGTTCCCGGGGCCCCTGGGGAGCTGGCCACAGAGGTCCCATCTCTGCGGGAGCTGCTGCCTGCACCCTGCTCTCGCCCCTGTGTTTCGGAAGTTAGAACAGGAGTTCTAACTTCTGTCATCCCCTTCCTGCTGATCCCTGTTCTTTCGGGTCTGACAGACACCAGGGAAGAGCGATCGCTGAAGGATTTGAGAAGAGGCACAGTTCGGGGGATGCCGGCATCCCGGGACCTTTCCCAAGATGTTTGGGGCCTGGTCTTTGACTTGTTTAAAGGCAGAGAATAAGGTTGCAAAGGAAATCAAAGCCTGATGTGGAGAATCGAAACATGAGGCCTACTGACTTTTTAAAAACATTTTAAATAACATTCTCTAAGGTTTCATTTTATACTGAAGGCAGCTGTAATAAGTTTTGGAAGACGGTGTAAGGTTTCGATTACAGAGAGATCCCGACTTGCAGTTTTTGTACCCAAAGTGAGAAGGGGCGGAGGTATGCGGGGGTGGTTAAGAGGTTATTTTGTATAAGGTGAGAAAATTTGAAAGGATACATTCAGGACTGCAAGCGGTAACATTTGGTATGCTGTAATTTGCAAATGCAATAACATTAAACCATTGCAAGGGCTTTTTTTTTTTTTTTCCCCTCTTGGTGAAAATAGTCCGGATAGCAATGGAATAACTTAATAACTGGAACGTAGCAGCACGTTGACCACAAGTAAAACAAGGCAGCGCCTCTTGCAGCCGGCCCTGCCCGTGTTGCCCCAGTGACTACGTTCCCTGCTGAAAGCTGGCGCCGGCCAGAGAAGGCGGCCTTATGAAAGCACTCATTGTTCCCAGGGCATCATTATTTGGTATTACATGCACAATGTTTGCTTGTGAAACGATTTATTGGAAACAAGTATGTTTAAGAAGGAGAATTTGGTTTGAAATTCAGTTGATCTGGCTTATGACATTTAAGATTTTATAGGACCTTTGTTTCTAAGAATAAATATTTAGGTCCACTGTAAATATTTATCTTAAAACACACAAACACACGGACACAAAACTGGAAAACGGAGCCAGGGAATGAATGGATACCTAAAATGCACTTCTCTGCAGGAAAGGGTAAACCGCCTCAATATGAGGTATGTGTAAAGGAGCGGATTTTGTGAGCTTGGCTGGTAGTATCCAGCCCAGAGGAGTGTGTGTGTGTGTGTGTGTGTGTGTGTGTGTGTGTGTGTGTACCCTTAACTCTGCTCTTCTCACGTGGATGGGGCTAGCCAGGATTAAACCAGCCCTGCCCTGTCCAGCTGCAAGCCGGGTGTCCGTGGCATCCAGCTGGCTGCCACACCTGACGGGGAGGCTGGCCGTGGCCCATCGCAGGGATGGAGTGTCCGCCGAAGGGTGAGGCTTTCTGGTTATGTTTGAAGGGATCCTAGCTTTGAGATTTTCTGCCCACAAAAGTAGGACTTCTGGGTTCTTTGCTCAGCCTGCAGGGTAATGTTGGGAAATGAATGACTTCTTTGGAGGCTCTGAAATCCTTATCTTTTTAATGTGAAAGTGTAGGTGTCCGTGAAGTGATGGAAGATTCTGGAATGAAATGTGTTAAGAGTAACCCACTAGTACTTTTTTTCTTTTCTTTATTATTATTATTATTTTTAAAGTTTTTAAAGACCAACAGACTTGTGCAGTAAAATCAATTTGCACATGGTTTGGCTTGTGTCCAACAAATTCCAGCAAATGATATTTTAATCTGAAAGGCTCAAATATAGAAGGGTTTAGATATCTGTCATTCTAATTTGCTATTTCCAATCCAGTACACAGGGATACTCAGGTGTAGGGTGGAGGCGTCTTTGGTGTGTTGGGTTGGCTGGGATCTCCTTCTTTCCCTTGGCCATTTTTAAAGCTGGGAGTCTAGACAAAGACAGTGGTATCTACAGTGTGGGGAGACAGAGGGGGAGGCTGGCTTGTACGTGCAGGTACGTGGGGGTGAGATGATACGTTTGTGGATGGCTGGATGGATGATTGGGTATGTACTCTTGACCGAATTGTCACGTAGTAAGATGGCAGTCAGCCTGGGATTCTAGGGCCTTTGTGGACAGGATCACACAACGGGCTGGTCTGTTACCAGATTCTTGAGGACTCTTGCCTACAGTTTCTCGTATACCTTGACCTGGTTGCCTCTATATGATTTCTGTAGAGACCCCCTCTAAACGGGAGAGGAACTTTTCCAGGCATAAGATGTAGGGTGTCTTCTGTTGAGAACTTTTTGCCTAGAGAGAGAGGCAAGGCAAGTGAGGGCGGGGAGTGGTGGCTAGCATACCCTCTCTGGGGCTTCCTTGAACATGGCCTCGAACATCGCCAGGATTGGGGAACTGGTGTCTGTGTTTCTTTTGGTGCCCCATCTGAAGAAGGAATGTCTGCTTGTGCGTCTAGCGTTTGGCAGACGGTAACAATGTATATCGAGGTAATGAATGGATGGATGTTGAATAAAAGGAGTGAAGTCCACAGTAAAGGGATGAACGCAGTTGTTCATTCAGTCTGTTCATCACTCTGAGCTCCTGCTTTCGGTTTTTCTTTTCAAAATAAGAAACGGAGGTTTTCTCAGAGTGCCTTAGAGAATTTTCGGGAGACACTGTGTATGGGAGCCATTCTGGTGTTCAGGGTGACCTTAGGCTTGTCCCTTGCCTGTGGTGTTAAGCTTACGGTCAGAGTGAGTCTCCCGATATTATCCCAAGTGGGACAAGTGAAGAGGCCCCCATCCCCTGCCATTTGTCCTTTCAATTGTCAACATAAAATCTTTCCCCTTGTTCAGTAGGTGGCCACGGACAACCGATAACTTGAGCTATCAGAAGTTTCTTCTCTCTGTTTTCTAAATAAGTATTCTTTTTACAAGGGTTGCGCTCCAGCAGTCTCCTTTGAAGTCGGTTTTGTTATGCATTGGGCCGCAGTGTTATTTCAAAGGAGTCAGCCAGCAGACTTGAGGCCTTTTTGGCTTGTGTTCACGAACAGCCTTCTGGACACACAACTTATTTATTCGGTTCTCCCCCCCTCCTCCCTCTCTCCCTCAGAGCGATCGCCACACCGGCCCATCCTCCAAGCTGGACTGCCAGCGAACGCCTCCACTGTGGTCGGAGGTGACGTGGAGTTTGTCTGCAAAGTTTACAGCGATGCCCAGCCCCACATTCAGTGGATCAAACATGTAGAAAAGAACGGCAGCAAATACGGGCCCGACGGGCTGCCTTACCTCAAGGTGCTGAAGGTGAGGACTTTCTGAATCTGAAGGGACCCACACCTGGGGTCTCTGTCGTGGACGTGGGGACAGGTTCTTTGATTTTCCGTTGGATCTGTTGGTCTTACTTGACCGGCCAGAAGAGAGTGTGGTAGGGAATTAGCAGATTATTAGGCTTGCTAGTAAAATTGCAGAAGGGAATGGGGGGCGGGAGGGGGAGGGAAGGGCTATTCAAGTGGGAGTCAGAATAATTCAGCTACTTATTGGCCCTGAGGTCTCATATGAGATATTGAGGCTTAGCTGCACATCCTTAAAAGTGGGGATCATGATGCCATCTCCCCTACGGGGTGGTTGTGCAGAATCCATGCAATGGCGTGCATTGAAAGAGCTTTGTAAACTCGTGTGGTACCAGTGTTTATGGTTAACGCCAATGTCGACTTCTCTTAGTACGATGTTAGGATCAAATTGGAGTAGCCATCTGTCAGAGGCAACTTACATTTTACTTTTAAAAGAAGGCTTTTGGCCTTTGAAATTCATTCACATGTGGTTTAGACAAACCTTAGAAAATGTTTTTGCACCAGCGAAATGTTGAACAAGGAGACTTCCTTTCTCCTTGTATTTCGTATTTGGTTCCTTGCAAGAGGGGACTTGGTGATGGCATCAGCCTCTTTAATTTTTAGATCTGTCTTGCGCTTCAGGACGGTGATAGCAAGTGGCAGCTAAGTCAGTAAGCCTCTCCTTAGCCACTGCCTACGACGTCTCCCGCATGTAGGTGCTCGTAGAAAACGTCCTTAAAAAGAACAGTCTTCCCATAGAACCATAGGTAGCTCCACTAAGAACTCTCAACCGATGGGGTGTTCTCCCCAGCTGAGAATCCCAGTGGTCAAAAGAGCTGGAAAAAGATGACCAGCCTGGGGAATTGCGGGTCCGTTCTGCTCGGTATTGATCACACCCTTCTATCCCTCTCCACTGGGTCACTTCCATGGCCCACCAGTTAGTTTATTTTGTTCTGTCTAAGCCCACAACCCTTTAAGGCAGCTCCTTAGACCTAATGGAGATTTTTTTTTTTTTTTTTTTGGTGGTGTATTGGTGGTGGGTCCCTAGACAGTGCAAAGTCCTTCCTGGTTGGCCGTTATATTGTTCTCCTGTGTCTGTTCCAGCACTCGGGGATAAATAGTTCCAATGCAGAAGTGCTGGCTCTGTTCAATGTGACTGAGGCGGATGCTGGGGAGTATATATGTAAGGTCTCCAATTATATAGGGCAGGCCAACCAGTCTGCCTGGCTCACTGTCCTGCCAAAACAGCAAGGTAACAATGTTTTGTGTTTTTGTTTTTTGTTTTTTTTAAAAGAAGGCTGGATATAGAAGCTGAAAAGATTTGGTGCTTTGGGAGACTGCAGGCAGCTTCTAGGATGACTCTGTGGCCTTGGTATATTCGTCATAATCTTTCTTCGGTGATGCAGCTGGTAGGATACCAGCAGCCATGGAAAAATGCCCACGATGTTCAGAGTGCTTGCTCTCATTTCCTCTAAAGATTACCTGCCACCCCCTGCCACCCCCCCACCCAATTTTTAAGTCGTTCCTTCTGGTTTATCTTGTTTGGGCTGCACATTCCCCGTCATTTCTGCACACCAGCAGCAGTTTCAACACAGACAGGCATGCCTGTTGAATTTGGGACATTTACGTATCAGCAGAATTCATGCCTTCTTCTGCCCCAGATTGGTAGAGAAATATTGGCACGCGATAATTTTTCCAACAGAGTATCATTTCCTTGGTTACATAATGGGTGCTTAGGAGATACTGTCCTTGACCTTGCTATCCTAAGTTGGAGCATAATCCATTTTATGGATGTGGACACTGTTGAAGGCAGCGGTTGACATTCTTTGTCACGACTCACACTCAAATGTTTATATTGAAGGAAAAAAAAAACCAGTTTCTTTGCTACCAAGATCGTACTTTCTTCTGTTTTCTTTCATGCAATGTGAGTCAAGATGGTTCCACATGAATATCAGAGTCTGGTAACCGACACAGTATTCCACCCTGGTTGGTCCCCACCGGGCTGGAAGGACGTGCCAGGTGTCCACTTGGGCGTGTCTCCAGGGTTTTGCTTTACAACACAATAATTTAGACAGCACCATCCTTTTCTCAAGGTGGGAGTCTGCAGCCAACAGAACCAGAACCCAGCTGGGACTTTTGGGTGCTTACACTTTTGGAAAACCATCCCTAAATCCAAAGCAACACAAAGGCCAAGAGAACGGATCTCTGTGGGTTGATTTTTCCATGCGTCTGATTGCATGCATGTCTAGGTGGTGAAGCCGGTGTGGTGACGGGCCTGTGGAGGCGAGCTGCTCAGTGTCTCTCGGTTGTGGGCTTTGTGGACGGGCTGCGATCGGAATCTTCTGGTGGCCAGCACCTGCCGGAGCCCCTGGTGCAATGCCTCATGGTTCCACGGCCCCCTCCACGATCATCCCTATGTTGTCTAGCCTTTTCTCTTGCTTCCCTGTTTTCTAGGCCGCCGGTGTTAATACCACGGACAAAGAGATTGAGGTTCTCTATATTCGGAATGTAACTTTTGAGGATGCTGGGGAATATACGTGCTTGGCGGGTAATTCTATTGGGATATCCTTTCACTCTGCATGGTTGACCGTTCTGCCAGGTATATACTGCTCTTTCTCGCCATGGTTTTTTCCCTTTTCTGGGTTGATTGCTATAAAATTAACACAGCTTCTGTTCTCAGAAATGGCCCCTTTTATCCTGGCGTAAAGATTCTTAAAAATGCTGAAAACTATCCCCCGGGGATAAGAAAGTTGCCTTTGGAAATTCACTTACAATGAGATCCCACACTCCCATTTATGATCAAGTGAAATTTCATCCTTAAAACCCAAAGGGATCTTATATTTTCAGTGAGTCACTGAGTCAATGTATAAATTCACCCATCTGCATTTCTTCTAAGGAAAAGAAGGGGAAATTACTTTGTAAAATTCAAAGTAATTTTTTCTCATTTCAAATTCCATTTCACTAAAACCCCATATGTACTTTTATTACATTGTTCCACTCTCTCTTTTTTAATGATATGTAAATAGGTGGATGTATGTTGGGGTGCCTGGGGAGAAGCACCTCGGCACGTAGGATGTACAGAAGCAGTGTGTTACCTACCTCGGGAATCGGTGGCTTGCTGCATGTTGCAATAAAGTGGACCCTCAGTTTGCCTTTCCTGCAAAGCATGCTCTCGCCAACTTGGGCTTGATGTTATTTCTGCCCTGTGGAGAAATCAACATCAGCGAAGCCCTGTTGCCTACATACTGCTTCTGTCTGAATCTTTAACCGACATCTCTGTCCTCGTCGAACTTCTCCTGATAATCACGATCTACTTTGATGTGTGTCTCTTTGTCATTTCCTTTGTGAAGCTGCATAGACTGGTTTGCTAGCTCATGATGTTCCACTCCAGTTATTAATTCCTTATTTTTAGAGTATGGTGCCTACCTGCATGCTTATTTTTATATCTAGTAAAAAGAAATTGATCTTTTCATTTTGTGCTGTGCTGCTGGGAGTTTTGACTATCTTGCAAGTATTTTTTCTGATTAAAATGTATAAGCTTTAAATAATACCATTGCATCCATTTTCCCTTTTGTTGTGAGTCTGCTCTGTGGATATTTGCTTTGAAACAATGAGATGCCTCTTATGTTGAGCTTGCTTTTTACTTGTAGTACTGCCTTCTGCAGGTGCCTAATTGGCACTTCTTAACCAGTTTGCCTGATAGTACTACCACATTAACTAAGAATGCAGTTTGAGAAAAATACTGTTTGGAAATACACTGCTTGTAGCTCAATGACCACTGAGGACTGAGGAGGGAGCAGATATTACTGGAAGTTGATCTAAGAATGTGCTACCTTAAGTAATTATGTGGAAACTCACATAATACCGTTTCTATTTTTTCTCTAAGAGAAAAGGTGTAGTGACCTCAGTATAACCAGAAAACACAAATCTTAAATGGTAATTGATTAAGGGATATTAGAAGCGTTCCACGGTACAGACATAATGATTGTATATTAAAGGCAATTTGGCCTTTAAATTCAGTTAATTTGTTTATTTGGTTGAATAATATGCTGGACTATATTAAGAAATTCGAAAACTTTCTGGACCAGCCTACTAGATGAATATTTATTTCATTTCATATGGAAGTGTGTTCATCTGGGTTAAATCACCCTGTCACATCTTCCTTTGGAAGAGCTCCCCCAAATAAGAGCGAGGTACCATCTCTTCACATGCACAGTGGGCATTGTTTCTATTTACGAATTTTTGATTTGGTTTGCGTCAGAGACCACCATGGAAGACAGTCCTTTTTTCTTTTTTCCTGTAGATGTGGATGACTGTCCTATTCTGCCCAAATGTCTGACAGAATGTGGCCCTGTAGCCTGCCCTTTGTGCTTTGGAGGCAGCCAATCCATCACGATCACTGGATTGCAGAGGCCCATTGAGGCTAGAGCTAGCGGCCGCTTGGGCCCCGGTGGTCAAGCGGGGAGCCCTTGGTTACTCGCCTTCATTTGCAAGAGGTGCATGGCAGGCCCATAGCCCATGCCATTCCGCAGCATTGAGTCATTGGGAAGCCTGTCCTTGGGAATGGTCATCCCCTTGTGATTCGTTTAATTATGCCGGGATGCAGCAACCCCATGTCCTAACTCTGTGGCCTGCTTATCTGTTCCTCCCCTGTGGTCTACACTCTAGCTCCTGTAAGAGAAAAGGAGATTACGGCTTCCCCAGACTACCTGGAGATAGCCATTTACTGCATAGGGGTCTTCCTAATTGCCTGTATGGTGGTGACGGTCATCCTGTGCCGAATGAAGACCACGACCAAGAAGCCAGACTTCAGCAGCCAGCCAGCTGTGCACAAGCTAACCAAGCGCATCCCCTTGCGGAGACAGGTAACAGAAAGTAGATAAAGAGTTTGAAGAAATTTACTCCTCCCCCACGCCCCAGCCAGCCCTTGGGTCTGTTTTTCGGCTACGATATCCTGTACTTCTGTGAGTTTCGCTGTGCGAGCGGTCCTGACATGCTTCTCAGTGGCTCTCCAGTTAGTGTTGGGGGCTCGGAGAGTCAAGTGCTGGTGCATCAGTCGGGTCAGCTGAGTCAAGTTCCAAGAACAAGAGAGCATGACGGTGTGAGACTCTGGGAGCTAATCGGTAGGACTGGAAATAACACGGGGAGGCATTGCCCTTGTGTGTTTGAGGCTCAAGTGCAGCGGCCTTTTTGAATCATAGGCCACTTTTGTCCCCTGTGATCTAATGCTGTTTTTGAGACAGGCTCATGCCACTAGTTGGAAAGGGCGGGACTCTGGTTCTCTTTGACTTTTATTTTAAATCAAGGTCAGAAACTTACGCCCTGGAGATGAAACTGAACTACTGCTTGATTTAGACCAGACTATGATGTCCTTCTTAACTGGGTTTTGGCTCGATCTCTCTGATTCTTAAAATAGAAATGTATGCATATATTATGTTATTGTTAATCATTCGCAAGTGTGGCTATGGATTCGGTGGTAGAAAGATTTTTATATTGAATGAGCAACAGATTGTTCTTAACCCCGTGACTGGCCTTCGGTGGTTACTTTTTGCTTGTGTGCACCTCATGATTGGTGTCATTTTGCTTTGGGGAGAGGGCAAGATAGAGCCTCTGCACCTTTGCCTTAACCCGAAGCTGCAAAGCCAAGTGGGACAGGATATGCTTTGCCTCTTTCTTCTGTGTTCATGAAGATGGAAGGGGAAGGCAGGTATGAATGGGAAGTGTTGACTAAAATAAGCATTGGGAACTTTGTTCCGATCGAGGAATTTCTTTTGAGACAACCAAGTAAAATGGCTAACTCACTGGCTCTGTTGCAGTATGTGCTTTAGTAGAATTTACAGGGCATTTGTTAAAATTGCAGAGTCCTTAGTCTTAGCCCTGGAGATTCTCGTCCAGTAGATCTTGAAATGGGGCCCGGAACCTGTATTTTAATCGGGTCCTTGGGTGATTCTGAAATGTACTCCGAGAAACTCTGGGTTAATCCCAGCCCTGTCCCTCCTGGGACTTCAGGTGGCGATGACATTTTCTGGATCTGGCGTTAGCACGGATTAGGAACCAGTTGGCCAGCCACGGTTTTGGCATGGCTCTTGCTGTTCTCGACCCAGCTCCAAGCTCCGGGCTGAATGGGTCCTTGTTGCCTCCTTTGAAGTCACGTATCAGGCAGCTCTTTATTCTTTTTAGAGGCTGAGGATAGCATCTGGAGTGTGTTGTCAAGTGTAGGTGATGGCCCAAATTATGTTAAGAGCAAGGGAAATAAAGGTGCCCATTGGGTAACTCCTGCTGCCACCAAGAATGCTATTGTTATTGAAATGACACCACTGTCATTCTTGGGGCCTTCTAGAGAAGCAATGATGAGGCCACTTGCCTGACTTTGGGAGAGTCCAGTCTGAAGGTGACTCTTCACATGGCCAGATGGTGCCTTCAGTACCTTCAGGTGCTATGGCCACCCCTCCCCCTCCCTCCTCCTTTCCAGCTACCTCTGGGCCATTCTTCCAGCCACCATCTTGAGAACCTGACCTCAGGGAGTTGGAAAAGGGAGTGGTGTTCCCATCTCTATTATTAGTTTTTTTTTCTAATAGGGGAAAATGCTACCTTCTGGAGGAAACCTGCAATTTGGTGTAGTTAGACCATTGGCCCATAATGATGTCATCATCTTTTTTTCTGCCACTATTACAATGCTCTTTTTTTTTTAACTTAAATATAAAAGACACAGCTGCCCTTAAAAATCTCCTTGACTCAACCCTAGTCATCTTATTTTCATTTCTCTTTGGCCTTTCTTCTTTGTCTCCACCTCAGTTGGTCATTCTTGCTATACTTTCCCCTGTATAACCAAGGGTAACATTAGGTTTTTCTCCTTTTTTCTTCTTTCTTTCTTCCTTTTCTTTCTTTCTTTCTTTTATCATAATTTCCCGAGTGCTTGGTCTAACCCAGGTTCCATGCAAGATAAGACCTGTCACCTTCACCAGTGGTTCCAAGGTTATTTGGCGGTCATCGTTTGGAATGTAGTTGTCTTGGGTTTTAGTAGGGGCAAGTAGAATAAGAGAAGCAGAGGAAGGTGGGCAAATAGCAATGCCCTGGAAAAAAACCAGATCTCTGGGAGATTAATTTATTTGGGGGAATGTTGACACACCTCACCTCCTCTTATATGTTAAAATGGATGTGTGATTCTTTACAAAGAGCACTCTGACAGTAAGCATGGCCCCTTTGGTGGGGAAGGAGATTCCTATCAGGCATCTGGATAAAAGAGGGTTATTGGGCTGTAGCTGGAATGAGAAGCCCGTAAAGACCAGCAGATTGTTGATGACAGAGAAAATACCACAGGGATGCCAAGCATGCCTTTACCTGGCGACAGGTGAGCCTGTAATCAGATGTCTTGAGGATGGGTTCTTCTAGTTATTTGCAAGGCCACTTTTCATGCTGTATTTGCCCAACCTCCTCTACCACACCGGTAACACTGAGCGTCTTCATGATGGAGTTCGAGTGTTATCTTCTTGGCCCTGACCCTCGCCCCTCCCCCAACACACATACACACAACATCTCACTCAACTCAATCCATCATTGTTCTCTGTTTAGAACAAGAAGAGTTGTGTTTTTTCTTTTCCTTCTTTTCTTTCTTTCTCCCTTTCTTCTTCTTTTTTTTTTAATCCTGCTGTGAGTTTTCCCTTCTTGACATTTACTAATTTGTCCTGGACTTAACTGTTATGAGACAGACATTTCAGTTTGTTATTTTTTTGAGTCAAAAATACTTTTCTCGGGTAGCTAAGAAGAAATTCCTTGTGTTCATGCCCCGGTAAGCAGGAGTTTTTTGAGGCTCTTTATGCATTTTGATGCTTGAGGAAAGACAAGAGAACTTTTTGGTTGGGAGAGGCAGGTCACACACAGCGTCTCCCTGTGTCTCTTGACAGGGGTTCATCCTGCTTTCAGTGCTGGGGCTCGGATACCATGCCAGCCCCTGGAGTGCCTGAGCTCCTTTGGAATCAGAGTGATCAAGGGGACCAGCCCAGAGAGGGTGTCCTCGTGAGCTTGTCAGCTCTTGTGTAGGTCTCTGGGGCTGCCAGTGGATAGCCTTAGTCATTGGGAGGCAGCCTTTGCACATCCATCAGTTCAAGAGAGGGTTTCACTTTCCCTGTGCCGCACACAGGGGAGAGGGGTGCAGGGGAAATTGAGGTTTGTTCAGGAGGCATGTGCTATTGCTGGGTTTGGTGGATCAGTTTTTCAGTGAGTACATCGACTTCCTTCTCTGGGGCCAAAGTTTCCATAGGGAAGGATGGAGATTTCCCTTTTGCCATAAACAGATAAACCCATCTCCTGGGTAGGGGCTGTGCATTAATGGTTATTAAACACAATGAACCCCGTGAAGGAGGGTTCCACTCCTAGAAGCTCATTCACTGTCTAGCAGCAAAATACCATGATTTTGGAATATTCTCCATCCTTTGGTTCCTCAAGTGGTCTAGTGAGACCTCCCTGGTTCCAGAACACGCGTGGGTAATGAGAGTGGCCGTGCATGGCTAACTGGACTCTGCCCTTCCATGTGGGTGCCCCCATTGGCTGTTCTCCCCTCTCAGCCTTCCAAAGACAGGGCAGTGTGAGATCTGATTTGGATTTTGGCTACTGGGATCTTCTAGGAAGAACCAGCCCATCCAGGACCTGTGAGCCATTGCTCTGATGGGTTGATTCATGGAGTCCAGGGAGCAGCATGGGGGAGGCAGAGACCTGGCAAAGGAGAAGAGTGATAAACCACCTCGTCTGATGAATTAAATTTTGAATCCAACCCCTGAAACTCCTTGAACCTTTATCCCAGCCACCTGGTTCGAGGTGGGTGAAAGCATTTTGTTTGGACATCGGGGAATGGTGGGCAGGGCTTAGAGCAAAAAGTATGTTAACTCGGGGCCTTCTCTTCTGGCTTGGGAACGTGGATCCACAGCTTCAGAGTCAGGAATTAGCGTGCACATTCGTCACCCCTCCCCTCTTTGCTTCTGCCTGCCTTACTCTCTGTGAGGTCCCCTGCCTTGGTTCTAATCTAGTCTACTCTATGCAGAGGTAACACTATTTCTTGGTGGCCCTTTAAAAAGAAAAGAAAAAAAGCCCACTTCCTTGCTTAATCTCCCCTATAGACTGTAGAAATATACAAAAGGCACATTTCGTTAAAAGCTTGATTTATGGCACGTGTTAAAGAGATTCCGGAAAGTGGGGAGTTGAGTAGAGACTGAAAATACACGCTAGAAGCGTTCCTGTGGGGATTGAGGAGCGGGAAGGCGGTTTATTTTAGGGTGTTCCCATTTATTGTTTGTCAGTAACTTAATGATCGCCAACCATGGAATATTTTTAAATTAGGCTACCTGATAAGGGAAGATCATGATTTTGTGCAAAAAAAAAAAACAAAAAAAACCAAACCAAACTCAGTGATAATTTAATAGCGCTGTGTTAGTCAAGGGATTCACAGGTGGACAGTGGGAATTACTTGAGGGGCATGTTCGGAAGGAAAGAAGGTCCAGCAAGATGCAACGTTTCATGGAGGAATCGCCAAGCCCCGGAAACACGTTGGCTCACAGCAGAAACAGCATGAAGAGAAAGCCAGCCTTGGTTACAGTCCCAGAGGGGATTTTAGAAGCTCAATAAAAATGCATGGAGGTAAAATTAAGATAACACCTCCATGGACAGAGTGACCAAATTCTAGTCTCTCATACTTCTGGCATTTTCTTACCTCTTTTCCCCCTTTCTGCTTTTTACAAAAGTATTTTCCAGATTTATACATTGAATCTAAACCTCCACACTTAATCTGGACAGAACTTTCATAAGTAATCATTTTCGTAAACACGATTTTCAGGTTTTTAATAGTAATGCTAACAACCAAGTTCGTCAAGGGTTTCCGTTTTAAAAGCTTTCACATGAAAACCTTGTCGAGGTTGTTTGGAGGAAGATGTGTATGTGTGTGAACTTTCGCCTTCGGGTTGTGGGCAAAGATTGCTCTCGGGTCATAGGTTAGCCGCAGAGCAGTTAACGTCTGACTGAACGTTAGGTTTTTCTGTTCTTAAGCAGCCTCTGAGCCATATTTGTCATGAGGACGTTCTTATGCTCCAGCTTTCCTCCTGCCCTGGGACTGACCCCTGACTCTGCGATCCTTTATTTCTTGGGTTTGCTCTTTCACTTGCTGGAGCCCCAGCCCGTCCTGGCTGTGAGCAGAGGGTCTCATCGTCCAAACCAGTAAGGCAGTCTCAGCCCTTAATGCCAGTGGGGTTTCGTTCTTTGCGGAGCACACAGTAAGCTAGCATCTCCCACACAAAACAACCGCAGGCTCCAGATCTTCTGGGATCCCCAGAGGAAGGTGCTGGTCATCAGCTCCCTTGGACCCGGGCAGTGCAGGATTCTGAAAAGGTGCTAGGGAAAGCTATTGTGGTGTTGGTAGCAAATATTAACTGAGCTCTTAGCAAGTGCCAGGCTCAGCACTAAATGCCTTATGGGTGTGACCTCATTTTACCCTCATGGTACCTCTGTGGGGTGGGAACTGACCGGGCCCCGTGTCGTGAACAGTTAGCAGGGGAAGGGTACCAGCTAGGGTTGACTGCTTGGCCGGGGCCGGTCAGTGGGGTGCCCACGTGGGAGGGTGCAGAGATGCCGTAGAACCCAGCATGGTAGCACAGGGGAAGGAGAAGGGCAGGGTTCTTGTCATTTCTAACTCATTTTAGAAGTCAAGTCACCGTGTTTCAAACATATTTTTATTGTTAAAGAAGGTGCTTTTTCTAAAACGTAAAGAAACACATAGGCATGGTAATAAAATTCAAATGGCTCGGAAAGTTCTGAGGCAAGACAAGTTCTGCCCCATCCCTCAACTGTTTGAGTCTCTCTCTCTCTGAAGGTGGCCACTCTTAAATTTCTTCTGTATCATCCTTCCTGAAAGCTTAAAAACGATGCTATGTTCTCACACCCCACATGGGAAGGCTGCTTTCTTCCATCGTACTCTTAAGTCTTGCCACTAAGAGCAGAGATTTTTGAGGACCTGCCTTTTCACTCAGAGCCATGCCCCCCGTTACTTCCCCATTGGGTTTCCACTCCTCTCTACCAATGGCAGCACACCAGGCACCGATGGTGGAATTCTGGAAATCCTGCGGGGCCGGTAGCGACAGGCTACCTGGCTGGCCTTGCAGAGAGAGTCATGGCGGCAGAATCTGCTAGACCGCGGCCATCTGGGGCCGGTGTCATCTCATCGAGAGGTTGACTTTTCCTAGTGTGGTCGGTACTTGTTGCCTGTGATTCTCAGGTACAAGTTCCCATTGCAGTGAAAGGTGATTTTTGCCTCTTCATGGGGGAGAACTTTCCAGAAGAACTTTTTGTCTCTGAAAACACCAGCCTCCTTTTGTATCCATAGCACATGGCCTTGAGTCAGTGTAGTGCAGTGTGTTGGGCCCCACACGCTGGAGGGGTGTTCTAAGTCGTCTGTTTGGCCAGGGTGGGGTCCCTGCCTAGTACCTGGCGTTAGTGGGGAGCAGGAGTGGGTTCTGTGAGTTCACACAGTTACCTTTTGTGCTTTCCTCCTTGCTTCCGCCAGCCACGCGAGCATGTGGACACTTGGGTGTGAGGCCTCAGCCTTTGGGAGCCCAATCTATTCACGAAGTTCTCTCAGCTCCAAAATTAATGATTCTTCAGCTCCTTTTTAAAGAAAAAATTATTTACAGTGCTCACAATAGCACTGCTCGTACTATCTGCATAGTTAAATTTAGGAGTGAGTCTCCCTGTGAAAAGATTGCTCAGAAGGCTCAGAAATGTTCTCTTGTATGTTTTACTTTTATTTTTTAAAGATTTATGTATTTAGAGAGAGAGCGAGCAAGTGAGAGGGAGCGGGGTGGGGGGAGAGGGAGAATCCTCAAGCAGACTGTGCTGAATGGGGAACCCAGTGTGGGGCTCGATCCCATGGCCCTGAGATCGGGACCTGAGCCGAAATCAAGAGTCAGATGCTTAACCGACTGAGCCACGCAGGTGCCCATTCTCTTGTACGTTTTAAAAGATAATAGAGAGGGCGCCTGGGTGGCTCAGATGGTTAAGCGTCTGCCTTCGGCTCAGTCATGATCCCAGGGTCCTGGGATCGAGTCCCGCATCGGGCTCCCTGCTCCATGGAAAGCCTGCTTCTCCCTCTGCCTCTGCGTCTCTCTCTCTCTCTCTCTGACTCTCATGAATAAATAAATAAAATATTAAAAAAAAATAATAATAAAATATAATAGAGATTCTGGGTTAAAAATCATATACAACTTGATTTTAATACTGAAACCAACTTCCTGTTCCTAAAATGATTTTCTCCCCCTCCCAGTCCATTCTTGGGCATCTTCTTGGGTTTCTATCTGCATTAAGGGCAATTTGGGCTTACAAAGGAGAGAATAAAGGTTTTCCAAATAACTTAGTTCCCAGGGAAGTACAGAGGGAATGGTTCAGGCTCTATTTTGTGAATGGTCATCCCAACTAAGTTTGTTCGTCTGCATTCCGTCTTTGGCACCTTAATTTAAAAGGTGTTCGTCAGCATAGCTAGGGAGTACAGTTGACCTGGGCAGTCATGCAGGGGACAGAACCAGGGTGGGAGGGCGGGCCGCTTGGTTGGACCATGTTAAACTTCATGTTCCAACTTTCCTGATTCCCAAGTCTCGTTCATGGTTTAGAATAAGGGGGTGGTCAAGCAGCCCATGGTTTTCCAGGATTGTGTAGTAATTCTCAAATTTGGCCTTTAAGTGGGCACTGCGTGTGTTTTCCTTTATAGAAACCAGCACAGGGAAGGCGCTATATTTAAGAAGTAACCATTTTGTCAGACGCAGACCAAAATGGGTGAGGGTGAATGAGAAAACTCGGGGAAGCCCTTGCGTGCTGCAGGTGGGAGAGGAGCTTTCCCATGTGATTATGAATCAAGGATGTAGTTTTTTGCTCCTTGACTTTTCATCCCATGTATTCAATCCACTAGTTTCTGAAAGAGAAGTTGACAAGAGTCCGTTGATTTTCATCGAATGGCCTGGGCATCCGCCAGTTCCCAGAAGGACTGGGGAGAAGCAGAGAATGGCCCCAGTGCCTGGGCCTCAGGTTACGTGGAATTAGGGCACTTAGAGCTACTGGAACGCCCTTCACATTCGAATCCTCGAGCTAGTTCCTTGAGACATTGAGCTTTTCATTCCAAAAGGCAGACGAAATATCGAAGAGCTGATTTTCTCAGGTTTTGTGGAGTTTCATAGGCACAGAATTGATTCATGATCTGAGCTGGTCTGCAGGGAGATTGACCACGTGGGGCTCTGGGACAGGTCTAGGCAAAAAGGCAGTCATGAAGCTCATGGGGTGGTGGCCCTGTCCTCAGGTGCTTGTTTGGAGGAATTGGGTCAGAAGGTTGGCATATGTTGCTCTGGTACCATCTAAAAATGTTTGCAAACCTGGTCTTAGGGACCTAGGATGTGGGTGAAATGTGGTACTGCAAAGAAGGGAGGACAGAGGTGCTGGAATCCAGTGGTTTTGGTCCTAAATTCTTGACTTTGGCCAGCGCTCCCACTTCTCTTCCTTTCTCAGAATCAAACATCTGGCTGGGCTCTGGCCAGCTGCCAGGCTTCTCAGGTAGAGCCAGGATTACATCTGCGTCTTTGCGTTTTGTCTCCAGGTTTCCGCCGAGTCCAGTTCTTCCATGAACTCCAACACCCCGCTGGTAAGGATAACCACGCGCCTCTCCTCAACGGCAGACACCCCCATGTTGGCAGGGGTCTCCGAGTATGAATTGCCAGAAGATCCAAAGTGGGAGTTCCCGAGAGATAAGTGAGTGCTTCTGTTGGACGCATCCCCCAATGGAATTGTAGGCATAAATGGGGATGTTGGCTTGACATGTTCTTTTTCTGGTCCTTAGCTGTAAGGATCATGCAACAGGAGTGGAGTGAGATGCTATTTCTAAATAACCAACTCCTGAAAAAGAAAAGAATGGGTTTTCTCTCTCTCTCTCTCTCTTTTACTGGTTCTTTAAAAAAGCTGCTAGGCATGGCTGGTCCCCAACCAAGACAGTACCTTGTTAGCACTTTTTTACTTTTTGGATAATTCAAACCCAGTCACATGGACTAAACGTAGGACTAAATCTCATTGATAAAGCAGATACGACATTCCAACTTCTGGTTATTAGAACATGACTGTTCTATAGTTCATTTCTTTGGGGGAAATTAGGTATAAAATACAAATTGCCTGAAGAATCTTCAGTCAGCGTTGCTCTTTTTTAAGGGTTGTTAATGTCCTATGGGGCTGCAAAGGTTTGAATATGGTACCTGACATCACGTTTCCTGTGGTCCATAATATTTTCTTTACTGGATCATGTGGAGGCGTTCCAATCAGGTGTTGGTTGTCAGAGCATGACCACCTGGGCTCTGTTGAAGGCATTACTGGGAGCTCTTTATCTCTTGATTTGGCTTCAGGTCCATGTATTTGGGCTGTCTTGGGCGGGATTTGAATCCTGGCTCAGCTAGCCAGCGGCTGGGCAACCTTGATTCTCTGAACTTCATGTTTATAAAATGATGACCATGGTATAGACCTCGCAAGACCGAGTGCAGTTCTTGGCTCATGAGTTTCCCCATCTTGCGTGTCCCTTCATGGAGTGGTAAGCTGGGAGCTGTGAACCACAGACCCCCAACAACATGGTGGGGCTAGGCAGAGACTGTGTGAGGCAGATCCTGTGCTTCCAGTCCTCTGTCTTCTGGGCAGAACCAGCACCCAGACCCACCTTCTGAAATAAAGTGTGATGGTCCTTGAAGGCCAGCAGCTCCCTTCTAGGTACCACTTGTAGTCCCTTGAATCTGAACCTTGGTAGTAGTAGAAGGTGGAAATCACGGACTGTCCGTCTACATCACATCAACTGGAATAAGCTCTTGCCTTGCTTCTATGTAGCTCCCACTCCCTATTTGTCTTCACATTGTCAGTATCTCCCTGAGATTAGGTCAGGGAGGTGTTTAATTACATAGAAGAAACTCATCCACAAATGTAGAGGTACCAAGCTAAGCTATTCTAGAGCCTGGGTCTGACGAGCTCTGTTTGGAAAGAGAGGGGGCTTACAGGGCACCGTGATTTTGATCCCACAGCTCTACACTGGCTTTGTTCCCCAAGAGCCAGTTTGGAGATACTAATGTGCATCGTAAGCTGGAACCAAAGCATTGCGCAGGTATCACTCTGTCAGGAGAGTTAATGGAGTGTAGTTGTGCACCGTAGTGGAAAGACCGTTCATTCATTCAGGACTTCTTTATTGAACAACAACTGGGAGGCATCAGAGAAAAACACAAAGAATGGTTTCTTTACCTGGAGAGTGTGGAAAGAGAATGGGGTAGTTTCTCCCGAAGCCACCTCGCTCCCTCCTTTGGGTGTACAAGTAGGAGGTCTCCGGCACACATTCTTGTGCGTCTAGGACTGACCTGGGCGGCTGTGATCGCATGTTAAGAAATGACAGCTCTCATGTTCAGGCCCCGTGACGTTGCGGTCAACAGTGGATGTCTGCATGTGCCTGACTGTCCGCTCCCACCCGGGGGGGACCCTCAGTGCGGCAAATGTGAGTGCTAAGCATTTCAGGACGGAGTTGAGCACGGATGTAGGTGGGGCAGATTTCCAGTGAATGAAGGCTATTTAGAAGCAGTTTATTAGATTGGAGGCAGACGTGGCACAAAGAAAGGATTGTTACGCTTGTAGTAACAGGGCAGTAGGACATAAATTAGCCATTTTTCCAATGCAAATGTTTATTTTCTGCCAAGATACTAAATTTAATTTTAGTTCAGGAGAGAAACAGAATGACCTCAGCCTAGCATATACAGTGCCCTCAGTCTTTGCTTAGCTTTTGTAAACCATTGTGTACTTACCATAAATATGGTTTATTTACTCATAGGACTGCTAAATACTTTGCTGCGTTATGCTTAAGTGGGAAAAAAAAAAAAACAACACCACATTCATGAGTATTCCAAAGATTTCTCCATTCTGTCGCCTTCTAGAATGTCCAAAGACAGTATGCGGCTATTAGTAGGACGTGCACTGAGCTTCTGAGCTTAGAAATACAGTTTATCATGTTCACTCTGGGTTTTCTTCATTATTAATTTTGGGTAGTTAAGGATTTCTAAACTGTTAGGCCAAAAAAGATTCCCCTCAATTTCTAGAATTTTCTTTGTCCTTTAGGGAAAAATTAGAGATTCCTTGAAATGCGTTTAAGATTCATATCATGTAACTTGGCCAGGAATGTGACCGTAAAATCCCCTGGTATTTGAATAATAGTGATTTTAAAGACATCACTTCACAGAGACCAAAAAATAAGAACAGCTTTAACATTTTTTCTTTGAGACATTCTAAATTACGAATATTCAACTGGCCCGAGATCAAAAGCTCCTCATTGTTAGCACTTAGGAAAGCTGACCACCTCACTAGCAAGGATACCTTCCACAAAGAAAATAAATCGTGAACACAAATGTGAAACTTAATAGCTGTCCCGCCCGTAATTGACATTCTCTACAACGTCACTAAGAAAATACTCAAGCGCGTGTGTACCCCCGGTCTCATTAGTTCCATATGATAAATGCTCCATGCTTTTGCAAGCCGCTGAAAGATTTTTATATTTAGTTCTGGAATTTCCCCTTCACCAGATGCTGTGCACTAATCCCCTATTTACACATTTAGGCTGACGCTGGGCAAACCTCTGGGGGAAGGTTGCTTTGGGCAAGTGGTCATGGCTGAGGCGGTGGGAATTGACAAAGAGAAGCCCAAGGAAGCAGTCACTGTGGCCGTGAAGATGTTGAAAGGTGCGCGGGGAGGGGAACGGGTGGGTGTTGGGGGGGGAGGGGGAGTCTTATCAAGAATGTTCCTTTTGTGGCATGTGAACTCTATCATGGCAGGGGGTCAGAGAGCACATAGTTGACCTAGGGGTTGAGAAGTTTTCAGTATAAATCAGCATCCTGGACAGACGATTTATCTTGAGCTGCGTGCACTTACAAGAAAGAAAAGCCAGTTTTGTTAGAAAGGGGTAGCCTCCCAGGTTGTTCTTCGTCAGCTCCTTGTTGATGACCGCGATTTTTTTATTCCCTCTATATTTGTATGTGCTTAGAAATATCAACTCACCCATAATTGGTTCATTTAGATGAGTCTTGGTATGCTGAATTTGGGATGCAAGCCTCAACTTAACAAATAAAGGAGGGTTGGCCTCTGGGAGGGAGGGAGGAGGCGTGGGGAGAGGAGGACACACCTTCTCTTTTGTAAGAGGAACAAAGCAGAATTGACACTGGTCTGGGAGAAGCCCTTAGAAAGCTAAAAGGGAAGGAGCAGAATCGGTGGTGGGATTGGTGGCCGGGCAGAACCTTCTGGAACATGTGAACAGTTACCCTGGGATGTGAACATCGCCTGGCATTCGTGGGATGACTGCCCAGCCCTGCTTCTTGCCAGTGTCCAAGGAGCTTATAGTACTTCAAACGTCAGCTTCCTCCTCCGTAGTATTCGTGTAGGAGAGGAGATCTAAGGGAATGGTTCCGTTATAAACCCTATCGTAGGGAGCTGAGAAAGGACGGAGTTTTTCCCATGTGTCTGGGCAGAGATGCCTGTCTGTTCTTAGATGCCGGTACCGACCCACTGTGGATGCTCCTGGAGTTAGGCTTTTTCTTTTCTTTTGTGGGCTTCATGCAATGGTCGTCCTGTCCCTCTCCGAGTGGAGAGGTAGCAGCGTGGATATAGTCCAAAAAAAAAAAAAAAAGAATTTTGTAAAGATGTTGATCTGAATGGCTCCCAAGGAAAGCTTGGGTGTTTTGAGCTCCTCACCTTGGGATTTGATGCGAGGGAGGCGTGTGCCCCACCAACAGAAGTGGCCCTCTGGCTTTTGTCCTGCATGGCCGGGGTCTGCCTGTGTGCCCTTGCCCCCCTGTGCGGCAGGTGTAGGGGGCTGCGTGCCCCAAAATAGCCACCTCAGCAGCCCCTGGCCACGGACCGGGGCAAACGTGGGGAAGGCCCAGGCTTCCAGCCTCTTTTGGCAAGAACTTCTTGTTTGGTTTTTGGAGCTCAGAATTGGAGGTCTGGGCATTTATTTCTCTGGATATACTCAGACTGGCCTTCCCTTTCAGGATGGAGAAGGACATCAGCCCCGGAGCCCTGTGGGGTCCTGGCGATTTTTATAGCCAGTGAATGGCTCACCGCAGAAGGACAGCCCTCCCTGGGCTCTGTGTGCATCTTACCTTCCAGCCAATTACATTGCTCTTTCGCTTGTGAAGTTAAAAAGCTTTTTGCCATGTGGCTCCTATGCATTTCCTTATTTCATTTTTTTAGTAAATGCAGTTTTCCGTATCGAATTATCTCAAAGGGAGGCACGTGGGGAAGAGTCTTGCCATCTTGCCGAAGCTATGAGCCCATGAATGTGGGACCTAAGCGGTTTTTCTTGAAATTAGAGAGCAGACATTTATAAAACTTTTATTTTTTTTAGGTTGGGAATCACAGCCCCCCTTGGAGAAGCCCACAGTCGAAGGCATGAACCTTTGCCCACTCAAAATGCATGTGCACACACACACACTTTTGTAAACACTTACGAGGTGCCCCCTGAACCTGTCTGTGACTTCTGTAAGGGCTCAGGTTAGCGGCATTTGGTCTGGAGAAAGTCTGTAGTGAATTGAGATGCCCCATCTCCCCCTCCTCTTCCTTTCTGTTGTACTCACGGTTGCTTTCAGGCACCTTGAAGTCTGATACGGTTTTTTGGAGGCACCATAGATCTGTCAGAGGATGGACTGACTTCACGATAAAGTTAAACACCCCCACAGTCGTGAGGGTTGCTAGAAAAGAATTGGCCTCAGCATCCGAGACCTATATTCTCGTCCTGACTTTTGACCACATTGACCCCAAATTAGCTGTTTGACACGGATCAGGGCAGTTCCCCGTCTGGGCCTTTGCCCCCTTACCAATAAAATGAGGGAGGTGATTTGGAAAGTGTTTTCTGGTTCTAAAATTCAATTTCATGCTGTTTCCACCAAGTTTTTGGCAACTAGCAGCGGCTGTCGATGGGTTAGAGAAAACTAAATGGTTTTTAATTTACCTAATGTTTGTAGATGATGCCACAGAGAAGGATCTTTCTGATCTAGTGTCAGAGATGGAGATGATGAAGATGATTGGAAAACACAAAAATATCATAAATCTCCTTGGAGCCTGTACTCAGGATGGTGAGTAGGAGGAAAAAATGCTTTCATCCAAATAATTTACACTTGAATGTTAACATCATTTTAGAAACGGTTGGACTTTTGGATCTTGCTCCTAGGGCACGTCAAGTGCATGTTTAAAGTTCTCTTTAAAATCCCCTTAGGAAGATGTTCCTGGCCATGAACACAAAGGGGACTTTGTGACCGTACTGGGGGATTGGGGAAAGGTAGGCGTTGGGTGGCTTTGGATGGGAGGGCCTTCTAGAGTCCTGCTGTTTTTAGGGCATAACCTGGAGGGTGTTTAGAAAAGACAGTCTCCTTATGTTTTTGTTTTTGTAGTGCTAAGAGGGATTTCTCAAAATAAGACCCTATGGGGGACGCCTGGGTGGCTCAGTCCGTTAAGTATCTGCCTTCGGCTCAGGTCATGATCCCGGGGTCCTGGGATCGAGCCCTGCATCGGGCTCCCTGCTCGGTGGGGAGTCTACTTGTCCCTCTCCCTCTGTTTCTCCTTCTGCTCATGCTCTTTCTCCCTCTCTCTCAAATAAATAAAATCTTAAAGAAAAAAAAAAGACCCTATGTTATGGTTGACAGATCCCTTAAAATGGGGATTGAAGAAGCCATGTCTTGCTATGGACAGCAATGGCTGAGCTCCCAAGAATAGTGCAGGGGAGGGAGAGAGTAGAATGAAGGGACATGTTATCTTCCTTGGGGGAGAGGGAGCATTGACTTCTCTCATTGGAGAGCTAACTGACACTTCGGGAATCAGTTTGATGATAATTAATAAACTTGAAGAAGCCTGTCTTTGCCTCAGCCATTTCTCCTTGAGGCCTCTACCAGGAGTCGGGAGACTTTCTGTGAAGGGTGATTGTCAGTAGTTTTGGTCTTGTGGCCTTTAGGGTCTTTGTGGCAACTAGTCATCTTTGCCATTGGAGCGAGAAAGCAGCCACAGACAATACAGAAATGAACGGGCCTGGCTGTGTGCCAGTGCAGTTTAATTACAAAAACAGGCAGTGGGCAGGATTTGGCCTGCAGGCTGTAGTTTGCCAGCCTCTGGTCTATGCCATGGAGAAAGGATTGCACGTGTGTGGAAGGAGACATACACAGGAATGTTCGCCGTGCACAGTTTGTTACAGGCCAAACCTGCAAGCGATGTAAATGCCCATAAGCATAGGCAAATGAGTAAATAAAATGTGGCATGTTTACATGATGGAACATAGGTAGCTGTTAAAAGGAATGATCTAGATTTATTTTTATCAGCCCGACTGGGTTCCAGGACGATAACGTGTAGGGGGAAAATGTTGCAAAGCTGTAGCTTTATTATTCATATATGCGATCACAAATAATAATGTTCATTGATAAATATATGTATGTAAAATGGTTAAAATGAACTGGAAAAGGCAAAATTTATAGTAAGCATTGCTCTGCAGGAGGGCACAGGGGAGCCTGGAAATGACAGGGGAAGGACACTCACTGCATCTCTGTCTATTCCTCTAAGACTTTTGAGGCTGTCTTGACCCAAGTGTCGATGATCATTTTGGGGGAGATGAGAATGTAGGTGTTCTATTTTTGTGTGCGCTTTTCTTTATGTTTCAATTAAAAAAAAAAGAAAGAAAGAAAAAGTAGTGGGTTGTAAGAAACAAAACGTGGCTGAGCTTCCCCGGCGCGGATCTGGGTGCGTCTTCTCAGCGAGCTTGCCCTCTCCATCCACAGGGCCTCTCTACGTCATCGTCGAGTATGCTTCCAAAGGCAACCTCCGCGAGTACCTCCGAGCCCGCAGGCCGCCCGGGATGGAGTACTCCTATGACATTAACCGAGTTCCCGAGGAGCAGATGACCTTCAAGGACTTGGTGTCCTGCACCTACCAACTGGCGAGAGGCATGGAGTACTTGGCTTCCCAGAAAGTGAGTCCTTCACATTCTCCTCAGTTGGGTGGACTCCAGTTAAAAAGATCTGTGAAGAAAACAGGCAATTTGGACGAGCTCATTTGCTAAATCAAGCCCTTGCATGTCTTGTACAACCTGGAAAATATTTATTGCGTTACTCACATGGGGGTTTGGTGAACTCTTTAAAAGCCAGAGAAGCCTGTCGTGACACCGTGGAGATGAGCAGAAAAGCTGTCTCTTCTCCTGGGATTCTGCTCTCAGTAGGGAACAGCTAGGTTAGGGGGTGCTGTGTTTAATTCTGATGAGTTTTGGGGGCTTTATTTGTTTTGGGATGCGTTTTTGGACATAGACTTGGATGTTGTGTTTATGGTTTTAAGCTTGAAAGGGCCTTCAATATTCTACGAATAAAGATCAAGCAAAGTGGTATTTTAGTAACACTGAGTCCTGGGTATCATCTGGGTTTATTTTGTCTCATTTAGCGGGGTGACCCTCTGGCTCGAAGTTGGCCAGGTCCCCTGAGGTGAACCGTCTGCATTCCAAGCATGCCGCTTGCAATGGAACTTTAAACATCTGAGTTATTCTGAAAGCAGTTAGGCAGGTGCCCCGATGTCCTCTGGGGCGTTTCGGATGACCCAAGACACCCTGCCTTAGCTCACACTTCGGGGGCGGGGGTTGCAGAACTTCCTCCTTAGGCAGAGGTGGGGTCCGTTCTACTGCAGTGGAGCTTGGTGCCGATCTTTGGGTCCCCAGAGAAGTGAGATTCTCTTGTGGGCGTGGACCCCTTGTCACGGGGGAGCCCAGGCTCCAGGCTGGGTCATGGCTCTGCCCAGTCACAGGAGTAAGGGATCCGACCACAGGGCATCAGGGCTGTGGGGGGGGCTGCCGCTCAGCTCCTGCTTCTGTGGCCGTGTTGGAACATGGCCAGAGCTCCCACACATTCTGTTTTTTGGTCTGCTTTTTATTTTCCTTTTTGTTTGGTTTTTATTTTCAAGAGAGGCCAGAGTTGAAGACTTTTTCAGGTTCTTTTTTTCCCGTAAAAGCTCTTAACCTGTAGATTTTAGGAAGCAGTTTTGTGCCTGACATTGTGTACATGTGCAGGAATACAGGCCAGCTGAAAAGGTCTCTGACGTGAGGAAATGGATCAGATCCAGAATGTGGGACATTTGACAAGACATCGCTTCAAAATGTCCGCGTCACGAGAGACAAAAACCACTGGGGAGACAGTTCCAGATTAAGGGAGGCTTAAGAGACAGGTGGAAAACCCTGTGTGCATGCGTGACCCTGGACTGGGCCTTGTTCAGGGTTGGGGGGGGTGCAGCTTTTATAAAGAACATTTAGGAACAACTGAAACTTGAATCGGGTCTACATTAGATGATATGATTGGATCGATACTAAATCTGGGGGTGGTGATAGCGGTCCTGTGTTAAGGTAGGAGATGTTTGCTCACGTGTTTAGGTGTGAGGTGTGCAATCACTTTTAAATGGTTCAGGCGTACAAAGTATGTGTTTTGGGCTGGAGATTGTGTGTGAAGAGAGAGCCGGCATGACGGGCGATCCCAGCACACACGGACCATCACTGTTCTGTTTCACCTTTGCTGTAGCTTTCCCTAAACCCTAGGGAGCATGGCCTGCCTGCAAGCTGCCTGAGGGGGTCCCCAGGGCTGGGGCAGGGGGAGGGCTGGCCACCCCCCAGGGCCCGGCCCCTCTGTACCCTTCCCCGTGTGGGGGGGGGAAGTGTTTTTTGGACGCAGCAGGGCTCTGCTGTTAATACAGAAGCAGTAGGAAGGCCGGCTTGGTCATTTTATTAATCCTTCAAGCGAATATTCCGGAGCGCTCCCGACTCCGGTGCTTCGTGCCCCAGGTCAGGCTCCCGTAGCGGGTGGCTGCAGTGGACGGAGTCCTTGGACCTCTTGGAGCAGGAACCTCGGGTGACAGCAGGAGAGATCAACGATAAGCGTGGGAATAAAAATAAAGATGGGAAAGGGTGAGAGGTGTGAGAGGCGTGCTGTGCAGGAAACAAATTGTGGGAGGTCAGTGGGGGATTCAGGGGGAAAGGTGGCTGGTGAGCACCCCCCCGGGGGACAGTTGTGTGCAGCTTCTGAGGAGGGACACAGGGTGCGGAGAGCAGGGTACGAGATGTGGCTGAGCTCATTTGGGGCCTCATGGACCCAGGCCAGGCCTCCAGACTGCGCTGTAGGCTGCGCTCTCGGCCTGTGGCAGGCCACCGAGGTGGGGGTAACGGGGTCAGGTTTGTGCCACAAAGCTCACTCGGTCTTGTGCTGCTCGGCAAGCTTGGTGCTGGTGTTTTGGGCTAGGGTTTATTGGCTCCCACAAGGCACCGGATAAGAAGATTGATTTTGGACAGATTTTGCTCTTGGGATAGTTAGTGATTTCCAGCCTGAGAGATCGGATGGTAGCGCAGCTGATCAGGATGAGGAAGACTCTGGGGTGGGAGGTGGTGGGAGAGGGTGGTGGGAAGAGATTCTGGTGCACAGTTCAGGATGCACTTTGACCACGTGTGAGAGCCATTCAAGGGCCAGTGCGGGGCAGGAAGCTCTGGGGGCCGGGCTAAGACCTTGGGAGCCGCAAAGGAAGCGCAGTTCCAAGGCATGGGAGGTCATCTAGCCGGGGAGAGGCAGAGAAGAGGGGGAGTAGAAAAAACTCTCAATTTCTGGAGCTTGGCGCAAAGCACCTGATGGCAGTGGAGGCTGAGGGGACACAGAGAAGCAAGAGGAAAGGCAGGATGTGGTTCACAGAGGCCACAGGACAGGTTTCAGGAAGGCGGAGTGTCATTCTCCTCAGAATGGGAGAGAAGAACATGCCTTGCACCTGGCTTATGGAGTCCCTGTGGACTCCCCATTGCTCCCTAGCCCCGAGGACTCTGAGATCCTTCCTCTTTTGGAACTGTTGAGAATAGTGAAGAGGGAACTTTGTGAAAGGGGGCAATTCCCATTATTAATCCGTACCAGTTTTTGAGAGCTCAACATCTGCCAGGCACAGGGTGAGTGTTTTACATACAGTATCATCCATAACCTCAGAACACTTCCGAAGTAGGTGCGATTTTAGGATAAGGATGCTGAGGACCGTTGGGAGGTGCCAGGACACCTTTGAGCCAGGTGTGCCTGAGTCATTGTCCTCATTTCCAAGATGGGGACTCCTAGGTCCACAGAGAAAAGTCGCTGGTCCCAGACCTGGCCCTTTGGTTCTCCACTCCCCCACCCTGCGCCCCAGCCTCCCCCACCCTGCTCTCAGGTAATCCCTGCCTCACTCTGGATGGTGGGGAGGACCGATAAGATGCCTTGTGTCTTGTGTCAGGGCGTTGCTCACAGACACAGAGTGGGCCCAAAGGGACGGAGCTGTATGTCCTTAGGGCCTTGAAGGGTCCCAAAGCCCTTTGTAGAAGATGGCCTGCAGTTGAAGACGTAGAACAGGTGTGAAACTGGCCGTAGATGAGGATCTTAGGAATGGTCCCCTTGAGTGGAGCCTGCTTCCAAAGATGGACGGCTTATTCCTGACAGTGGAGTATGAAGAAGCAGGGCAAGGGCCTGCTCACACTCACGCCTCACAGCCGCCGGCGATGAGCTTGCTGGAGGCCCGCTTAAAGAACTGTTGAGTGAGCTCTCTGGCTCATTACTGATGGAATGCAATAATGAATTCGGCTCAGTAAACATTGACTGGGTCAGGCTCTGTGCTCGGTGCTGGGAATATAGAGATGAACACGCAGGGCCTGTCCTTGAGCCGCTTAAATATGTGCGTGCGTGCCCGCATGTGTGCAAGTATTTGTGGGGAACTCGGGGGGGGGGCAAGTAAAGAAACACCATGATGTATACAGAACACAGCAAGGTAATATGGGGTATTTGAACATCATACAAATTATGAAAGCTTTGCTGTTTTTAGTTCAAAGTACACTAATTTTTCTTTTTTACCAAATCCCAAAACCAGTTCAGCTTACTCCAAGGTGTTAAACCTGAGTGGGTGGTGTTTTTGTTATTTAAAGCAGGCTCCAGCTTCCCCATCTGTGAAATGGGTGCAACCATACCCATGAGATTGCCATGGGAATTTAATTCTATCGTCTGGGCCATAGGGGTGTTAGTCTTCCTTCCCTTAGTGACCCGTGGATCTCCGCTTACTTAAGAAATGGATACCAAATGGTCTGAGGGCCCTAGTTATGTAAATGGTCAGCTCTGCCCTGGAAAACAGCTCTGATTTCTGCAGATGATGGGAATTTGGCTTGATGTTAATTATTTTCTTTTTCTTGCGTGTTGGTTCCAAGTCTCTTACTGTTCAGCCCAGAGGGTGGGCGTTCGTGTCTGCTAGCATCGTGGGATGTGGGAGGTTGGTGCTCGATCCTGGCTCTTGCCAAGATGATGATGGAGGTCACTGTCGTGGTATCTCTGAGTTGAGCCCTCATGTGTGGTGGGAGCCCAGCGTGTGGGAATCCAGATTCTTCTGACCACACAGCTTGCCAAATGCACAGAGCTCATGTCGGCAGGGAGCACGCCGCCGGGAGAGTTTGGCCGAGGGCTTGGAAGTTCAGTTTGAAGAGGCCTCCAAACTAGGAGCATGGCTCCCGCCCCGGCTGGATCCCCAGGCGGCTTCTGGAAGCTCTCACATTTCCTGCTTCCATTCTGGCACAGGCATACCTACTTGTGGGGTTTTCCTGCTCTCCCTTTCCTGGTCTTCACCCATCCAGGGGGCCACCGAAGCGTCTAAAAACAAGGAATCGTTGGGCGGTGGGCTGGAAAAAGTAGCTCCTAATTTATTCTTCAGAGAGAGTGTGGCTTGCTCCTTTTTATTGGCCGTGTCGTGAAGTCCCTAACTACAGCCAGCCCCATTTCACCCTTGTCAAGTGGCTTGATAAGACTCTCTCCTTCATCCAGTAGTTAACCCACGAGGCTGTGTCCAAGCATTTGGTAGAGATATTTGTTCACTTCCTTAGACCTTGCCTTTTCCAAAAATAGGGGCTGATGATTGGGGAATTCTCATTACCATGTGTCATGATGAAATCTTGTGACATTGAAGTATAACACTCTACAAAAGTGTATCATTTGTAGAAAGGAAAAATGGGAGTTACAATGACCAGACCTTTCTGAGACCGAAGAGTATCAGAACTATAAATTAGCTGCCCTCTGGTGAGCATGTCTGCATCCCCCCCACCCACCACCCTTCCCCACCCCCCAGGTATTTTGTGTGGGCCGGTGTCCTCTGGGCCTAGACAGACAGGCGTTGGTCATGATATAAGCCGGGAAAGGACATGGTCAGTTCTTAGAAACACAACTTGTGGGGAGCGTAGCAGGTGCAGCGGGGCTGAGTTTGGAAGCGCAGAGACCGGTTAGGCAGGCACTGTGGCTCTCCATGGGGCTGGGGGTGGGCAGTGGTGATGTCCTGGGCTAAGTGTGGTTAGTAGTGGGGACACAGCGGGGTGGACAAATTACAGAGGCAGGTGGGAGTCAGCGTCCACAGAATTCTGGTGTATACTTCTTGGCCTGAGAGAGACCCAAGAGGGTAAGAATTAGGGGAGCAGAGACCTTGAATTTGAGGAGCCAAAGGGATGTCACAGTGGAAATGTCCCATAACCTGTGGAAGATGACAGTGAGGGTCCCAGGAGAGAGGTAGGAATTTGCAAATCCTTTGTGTGTATCTAAGAATGGAAGCCCGGGGGATATGTGGAAATATACAAAATTAATGGGACATTTCTCCTATTTTGAGGGACAGGGGAAGAGAGGAGCTGGATTGAGAGGGTGAGCCAAGAGAAGGGAAGGGATAGAACTCAAGGGGGTGGGGGTGGGGACCGTTTTTTTTAAAAGGAGCATGAAATCAACAGAGTCCAGAGCTGCAGAGGGTAACATTGAAGCATTAGAAGAGCTCACTTGGGTCTGACAAGAGGTTCCTCATATACTTTTGGGAGGGGCAGGGATGGAAACAATGTTTGCGGATTGTAAGGAAGTAAGGAGGAGGTGGTGTTGGGAGTTTAACCAGCTCTTCTGAAAGTCTGGCTATAAAGGGGGGGGGGGGAGTTAAGTGTTGAGATAAAAGATTTTGGAATAATCTAGCACAGATCTCCTGCTAGGAAGGACGCCAGTGTTGTTGGTCATTTGCAGGTAAAAGAGAATTGGCTGCTTGGTGTCTCTTTGCTCTTTGAAATGATTGGGGCCTTGGTTTTTTAGTTATTTTTAATTAGAAAAGAAATACCATTTTTTGACTTAAGATGTACTTTCTGTCTGCATTGTAAGAAGTGAGTATGTTTTCTCTTTATCCTTGAAACATTTTGAAATGAGTTCTTTCTTGATTTCAGTGTATTCATCGGGATTTAGCTGCCAGAAATGTTTTGGTAACAGAAAACAATGTCATGAAAATAGCAGACTTTGGACTGGCCAGGGATATCAACAATATAGACTATTACAAAAAGACCACAAACGTAAGTCTATGGCAGCACTGTGGTGGAAGGGACGGAGGGAGGGATGGTGGTGGCACGGAATGTTCCAGATGAAAGATAGTAGGCATTTATTCCTCTGCCCTTTATCTCTGTTCTTTTGCTGTATTCTTGACAGACTTCTCAATAAGCAAATTTTAGCTGTATTTAAGATACTTTTAGTAAATGTGAAACAGCCTTGTATATAGAATGATCAGCAGCCTCTGGTCTTCATCAGGCTCTTTGTCAAGAACTTCCCTAGCCAAGACTAGAGCTTGGGAGTTTCTGGATTAATTTTTGCCTAGAAGGTGGTCAGGGTGTGTCTGTGTTCAAGGGAGATCGAGGATGATGAGAGTCCAAAGATACGGCATTGTACTCATGTGCCCCAATCTGTGCATCTTACATGTTATGTGTAGGCCCTACTGGACCTTATTTCTGCTCTCATGACTGACCAGTGAAAATCGTTAGTATCAGCTCCCAAATAGGGCACAGCCTGTCGAGCCAGCAAAAGTAAACTGGTTTTAATCTGGTGGTTTTTACCTTTTCTCCCCCACACTTGCAGGGGCGACTTCCAGTCAAGTGGATGGCCCCAGAAGCCCTTTTTGACCGAGTGTACACCCACCAGAGTGACGTGTAAGTAACTCCCTTCTCTCTGGCTTCGCCATCGGGTTGAGCTGCAAAAATACGTATTCATCTTTCCTCATTCTTTGGTGTCTGTTGTATTTCACACGTTGATAGAAGGTGCAGGAGCCGGCCTTAGAAAGGACGGATTTTATGGTAGGCTGGTAACCAATGCGCTGTTACTAATCTGCCCAGCTTCAAAGTGCACGGGAGGTGTAACTTCGAACCTCGTCCCGCCAGGGCGGAAGTGCCCCCCCACCCCAACTTACTCACGGATCCACGACTACAAAGCTGCTGTCTCATTTGCCAGGCCATTGGCATGTTCTTTGCTCCCTGAAAGAAGGAATTTTGAAACTTTTCCTACTTGAGGGTGGTTTGTCATACTCCCCCCATCTCAGGTTTGTCCTTAGGGGGACAGGCTGAGTGGGGCAGAGTCTGCTCAGGTGATCTCCACGGGGCCCGCGTGTTCTGTTTATCCTTTGAAAAGGTCCGATCTCGGCCTGGCACCCTTGATGACATGACAGAAACAGTGAAAACTATATAATATTCCCATTATGATACACTTGAAAATACTAATTTCCAACGCTAAAATTCTAAAATACCAGTTGGAGGGGCAGACTCCAACTGATATTTTAGAATTTTAGCGTTGGAAATTAGTTTGGAAGAAGTTACCCTGCCGGGAAACCGGGGGAAGGTACAGAGCATCTCTCTGTACTGTTTTTTTCCAAGTTTCTATGAGTCTATAATTAGTCCAAAATAAAAAGTAAAAAAAAAAAAAAAAAATCAGTTGAGCCATTTTTATTTACATGACCAGGCGGCTCCCCGGGGCAGGCATGGTGTCGCAGCCGGGCCCCTTTAGCAGTCCTAGAAGGAAGGTGTTACAAGTCCCAGTTTTGTAGGGAGTCAGCTGCCTGCGTTGTGCTCCCACTTTTGCCCTACAGAAAACTGGGGAGAGTTTCATTTCTCACCCCAAACCCGAAGAGAGTCAGGAAGGGTGTGTGTCAAGAGCCTCAGTGATATAGGTAAATGCAGGAGTCTTGGCTCCATTATCCCAGGAACTGTGAGTATCCGGAACGAGGCTCAGAAAGTCCAGCTGTGGGTCTCCGTGAGGTCAGGTACCCATGGTCCCCTGAGAGAGGTTTTCAGTTTCTGTTGTAGGAAACTCGTCTGGGGCACGGGATTCCATCATCCTCATCCCAGCCTGATGCCCACTCCCTTCATGACCCTAGTGAGTCATGAACCTTTTGTGCTCTCAGATGCTCCAACTGGCCACACTGGGCAGCTGTGTACCTTGCAGAATTGGCTTGCAGACCTCATTCGGTCAACAGCCCATACTGGTGGGTCACAGTCCAGGGGGGTCAGGCACAGAGGCTGTTGGAAGAGCTGGACGGCAGCATGAAGAGCTTTGCAGCTTAGGAGCTGAGATCCTCCCGTTGCTAACACTGCATTTAAGGACGAGTAACTTCATTTGAGAGTGTCAGAATGAAAAAGCAACCACCCCAGATCTCTACCAGAAAAAAAGAGGGATGGTTTCCCACCCCGACTCTGTTGTCTGTTGATGGAAAATTCCATGGGAACATCCCTCCGGTTGTCCTCATTTGGGGAGGATGCTCCTTCGGGGCAGGGAGGGGCCTGTGGGATGAACTGCCGGAGGGTTCAGGCCATTTGTCTTTGAACATGAGAAGTGAGTGGGCGTGTACTTTATTCACTGGGCATATTTGGGTTTTTGGGATTCAGGTGGGTTGGTAACACTGTTTTCTCTCTTCCTTGCAGGTGGTCCTTCGGGGTGTTAATGTGGGAGATCTTCACGTTAGGGGGCTCACCCTACCCAGGGATTCCAGTGGAGGAACTTTTTAAGCTGCTTAAGGAAGGACACAGGATGGATAAGCCAGCAAACTGCACCAATGAACTGTAAGGACCGTTGTCTCTCCTGATACCCAGCAGACCCACCATGCCATTAACTCTTCTCCCGACTTATTTCGGGTTTCCCAAGGCCCCGGGTTTTCCATACAGGCCCTAAGAAGAATTACTGCTGAAGCTTTCTGGGCTCAATCCCAGGACTGGGGTGGATGGCCACACTGACGGCCATAAGAGAGAGAACATCACCCCGAGGTGTATGGACTGAGCTTTAGATCAGGGCATTAGGCTTCCTGGCTGAGGGCTTCTGACTTTCGAGAGTGAGACGCAGCGATCTTCCTGAGCCACCGTGCTGTGCTTTGCTGTTGTCTCTCCTTAGACGGATGGGGAGAAAGATCTGGCCTTTTCTCATACACAAGCTGGAAAGCCGTGGGCCTGCCCGGCCTTTCCTCACGGCTTCTGCCCCCAGCACGGCCAGGGGGCATGGGTGAACACTGAAAATTGCTCTTCTAGATTGGCATTGACCACATGTCTTCAGAGCAAACTGGTGTCTGGTTACCTCTGTTTTACCCATAGTTTAGCACAGAGAATTGAGAATGTGTCCAGGTGCCATCCTTAGAATCCCCGATCTGGCTGTAAAACCATGAGCCGGTTTCGAGAAAAGCCTACCCCACACTTCAAGTGGAATTATGTTGTGTTTGTGACATGCGTCTTGTGCAGTAGAATCAGTGCTTTGAAAGGGAGTCTCTCTTCCCAACCCCCCCCCCCCCCCCCGGATTAACTAAGAAGAGTGATTGTCCCGGAGACTGTGGTCTATTGTGTATCATTTCATGGGGATTTTATATCCGTAATCCCATGAGTGCTTTTCACTGTACAGTGGACATCTGATGAATGGCCACATTTTATAGTATATTATATAAAGGTATTTATTGTGCTGCCTGTCATTCCTATTGCTTTTTCTAATATAGAGGGTCTGTCGAAACCCATAATCAAGATAAGGCCTGGGACCCTAGGCCTGTCCAGGAGTTAATCAGGAAGTTAATGTGCAGCCCAGGGATGGCAGATTAATTCATAAAAACCTTACCTTAAAGTTGTGGTTTTCAAACTTCATTTTTTTTTAAACTGAGGAACCTTTGTCCTCTGCAGTCATTAAGATAAAACCCAAAGGGTCAGGGAGGAGAATGTGTAGCTGCTTTGGTCGGGAGCAGGAGTGGGGGGCGGGGGCGCGGGGGGCACTGGGGAGAGGCTGGAGACCGGGCTGCTCCTAGAAGGCTTTTCCTTCAGCATGTCAGAGTGCCAGAGAGATGTGCTAGTCTGCGTGTGTCACTCACAGATGCAAGTCAGCAGCGAAGACGTAGAAAAAAGTCTTAATGGCGTAGACACGCTCCTAAAACGTTTGGGGTGAAGTGATGTTTTTGTAGCTCAAAGTGCCTTTCAGAGGACCCAAGCAGTGAATTTTGGGGGAAAGCAAATAACTGCCTTCTAATTTGGAAAGTTCTGGTACATGTTCATAATTTAGGACGTATCTCCCTAGTGCCTGTTCACACTGGCTTATAGCCATGCACCTAGTACTTATAAAATGAATTCACCGGGAAATCCGTTTCCCCAGGTACATGATGATGAGGGACTGTTGGCACGCGGTGCCCTCCCAGAGGCCGACGTTCAAACAGTTGGTAGAAGACTTGGATCGGATTCTCACTCTCACAACCAATGAGGTAAGCACCCTCTTCCAGAAGCCTGTGGTCCTTTCTTGGGAGGCCGGTGCGGCTTTTTCAATGCAACCTCCCCTGTCGGAGTCTGTGGTAGAGATTATCATTTTTCCACAGGGGTCAGACAGAGTTAAAATATGGGCAGTTTTGAGAGTTCTGACTCATGAAACCAGACCGAGGGCCCTACTTGAGGCTGCTCCTCTCTGTGGCCTTTGGGTGGTGGGTCCAGGTTGTGGTATGCTGGACAGTGTGGAGGCGAGAGAAATGGCAGCATTTGGGTTTGCGTGTGAGGAGCTTGGGTTTCTGTGCTGCTTGGATTCAGCTCCTAATGTAGGAGCTGCTGCCGTTCTCTTACTGGTGGGCTTCGCTGGAAGCAGTGAGGTTCTGCCAGTCAAGCTTCACACGCACGGCAGTGGCCACCGTGACCCTGTCTGGAAATGGCCTGGGGCGTGCGGTCTCCATCTGTGTGTATGTGAATGTACACACAGTTTCGTATAATGAGGGACTTGAGATTTTTTTTTAAAGATTTATTTGAGAGAGAAAGAGCGAGAGAGGGAACTGGGGGAGGGGCAGAGGGAGGGAGAGAGAATGAATCTCCAGCAGAGACTCCCTGCTGAGCCCAGAGCCTGACCCGGGGCTCTATCTCAGGACCCTGAGATCATGATCTGAGCCGAAATCAAAGAGTCAGACGCTTAACTGACTGAGCCACCCAGGTGCCCCGGGACTTGTGATTTTTAAGTGACAGCTTTTACCTTTTGTTAAAATATTTTTCTTTAAAATATTTATAATCTGTACCAACGAAAGAAACACTCCTCTGTCCCTCACTGAGTGATTTCAGTTGTGGTAGTGCTCGCTTCCGCATGCAGATAGAGTGGACTCTGTGGTTGTAGAGAGTGTCTGATCTGAGCAGGAATGATGAGAAACCCATCGAGGTCAGAAGAATCCCACAAAAAATTGTTAATGAATGAATTTGAGATATTTAATGAGGGTGCAGCAAGCAGTCTTCCTTCAAACAGGAAAAAAAAAAATCCTCAAACCCAGTTATCTTAACAACAACAAAAAGAGGTTAAAATTGCTTGAATAAAAATAATACATTTAATGTACTTTTAAATACATTTAATAGTTTCAGAATGATTTTTTTTTTTTAAATCAAATGTTGTGATATGAAGCCTTAAGCCAGCAACATTATCTTGTGCGTCTAACTGTAGCTGATAAAAGGAGAGATTGCATTTAAATGAATACAGCTGACCTTCAGAAGTTGAAAGGAAAGGAACAGTTCAAGGGGAAAAAAAGCAACTTTCTTCTCCTGCCAAAATTGTTGTTTCTAGTGTAAGTTCCTTTAACCCTAGACTTGGAATCCACTGGTACCCCTCTTTTCCCCCTATCAGATCTGAACATTTATGGCTGCATTTAGAAACTGGGAAAGCACTAATGTTCCATTTTACTGGTCCTAAGTCCATGTCTTTATTTATGTATTTATATTTAAAGTGGGTCCATTCATACTGAAATTTACATCTAGCATCCTAAAATAAAAAAGCAGAATGCCATATTGTCTAACGGATATAAAAATCGAAGTTTCTTTCCTTCTGAAAATCATTCCCATATGCTTGAGAAAAATGGTTCCATTTAGGACAAAATTTCATTTTTATCATTGTAAGCAAAAAGTTCTCTTTTGATGTGGTGGGCGTGTTTGTTTCCAGTTGTGCGGTTAATGCTGATGTTGTTGGAACTGACACATCCCCCATTCTTGGATGGGGACTCTTTCCCTTGCCAAACCTGGTGATGAATTATAGTGTTGTTGTTGTTTTTTTCCAATTTTTTTGGGGGGGGGGTTCTTTTTAAAATGTAGAGTTCCCAACATTCTGCAGGCTCTTTTCTGAGTGAGACCCAGAAGTTCCTCGGTTTAGAAATCTTGCCAGAGTTTCCGAGCAAGGGTCTGCGAACCTCTTCCGTAAAGGGCCAGATAGTAAACATTTTTTATCTCTGGGAGCCGAACTATTCAGGTTAGCCGTCAAGGCGAGAAAACAGTTACGGACAATATGTCAATGAGTGTGTCTATGTTCTGGGTAAAACTTGATGGACCCTAGCATTTAAATTTTGTATGACTTTTATGTCCTTTTATGTCATTTTAATGCCATGAGATATTACTCTTCTTTTGATTCCCCCCCCCCCCTGAAAAATGTTAAAACATTTTAGCTCATGTTTCAAAACACGTTTTTGCTCATGGGCCACACAAGACCAGGCAGTGGGCTCTCACCCTGCCATAAGTTGGAGGAAATGTTATCCTGGGTCATCCAGGGGGCTCTCTTCCATAGCAACCCCAACAGAGGCTGTAGGGAGCAGAAGAGACCCTTTTGAATTTCAAACTCTTCTTTAACAGTCCATTATGGATTTAACATACACGAGTACATCCGAGCCTTTTCTGAACCTGTTTACATTTTCCACTTGGAGAGCTTCTGAGAGTAATGAATTACATCTGTGAAATTACCCGCTGAATGGAGACAGATTCCCCCTAAATTATCTTAGAGACTGCAATAGTAAAATGTAATTCGTAAAATAAATATTCATGATCTCAACTATTTTAAGGGGTCCCCGGAATCCATAACACATTACGTGTTTTTCATTTTCCGGGGGCTCGGGTTTGAACCATGTGCTTCCCCTCGAGGAGGCGTGTAGCAAGCCGCTTGTTGGGGTCTGTGTGAGTGGACTGGAGTGCTCAGCATTTTCCCATTCCCTCCTTGCCTCTTGTTTGTTCATGATGGATTGTAAGAGAAGGGTTAAGGGCAGCCTAGAGTCAATAAAGGGGGGGTTGTCTAGAGGAGATCTTTATGGGAGCGGGGGGTGCTAGGTCTCTGAATCTTCAACTCCGATAGAGCGTCTCGAGAGCCTGCATTTGAAATAAAGGTCTTCTCTTCCCTTCTTTCAGGAATACTTGGACCTCAGTCAACCTCTCGAACCGTATTCACCTTGTTATCCTGACCCGAGATGAAATAAAACGTCTCTCTTCCCTTCTTTCAGGAATACTTGGACCTCAGTCAGCCTCTCGAACAGTATTCACCTAGTTATCCTGACACAAGGAGTTCTTGTTCTTCAGGAGACGATTCTGTTTTCTCTCCGGACCCCATGCCTTACGAACCCTGCCTTCCTCAGTATCCACATGTAAACGGCAGTGTTAAAACATGAATGAGCTTGTCCTTCTGTCCCCACACAGGACAGCACCAGGAACCTAGCCACACGAGCAGGGAGGCCATGCCTCCAGGAGCTTGTTGGCTCCGCTTGTATATATGGATCAGAGGAGTAAATAATTGGAAAAGTAATCGGCACACGTGTAAAGAATTTATACAGTTGGAAACTTGTAATCTTCACCTGGAGAAGAAGAATGTTTCTGGGGCCATGGACTGCCATGGGCCACCACGCGCCCATGACCCACTGTGGGTACTGGCTGTGGACCAGCTGGACTTGAGGCAAACTTAGGTTCTGCCTTCCTTGTGAATTTTGTAATAATTGGAGAAAATATATGTCAGCACACACAGAGCACAATTGCAGTATATAGGTGCTGAATGTATGTAAATATATTCAAATTATGTATAAATATATATTATATATTTACAAGGAATTATTTTTTGTATTGATTTTAAATGGATGTCCCAGTGCACCTAGAAAATTGGTCTCTCTTTTTGTAATAGCTATTTGCTAAATGCTGTTCTTACACAGAATTTCTTAATTTTCACCGAGCAGAGGTGGAAGAATACTTTTGCTTTCAGGGAAAATGGTATAACATTAATTTATTAATGAATTGGTAATATACAAAACAATTAATCATTTATAGTTTTGTGTTTTTTTTGTTTTTGTTTTGTAATTTAAGTGGCATTTCTTTGCAGGCAGCGCATCGGACTAGTCAATCTATTGCTTGGACTTTACTAGTTATCAGATTCTTTGAAAAGAGAAATATTTACAGAACATGACTAATTTGGGGAAAATGAAGTTTTGATTTATTTGTTTAAGCTCTGCTGTCAGATGGTTGTTCTTACACCACAAAAATGCCAGTAGGAAACAAACCCATTAATAAGAGAGTATTTTGTTTCGCTGTGCAGTTCTGTCATTGGGCCCGTGGAACATTTAACTGGACTTCCCAAGACAAATGGAACCACCGTTCTCTTAAAAAGATGCCTTAATCCATTCCTTGAGGATGGACCTTAGTTGAGATGATAGCCGACTGTCCTCCTCCCCAGCAACTGGCCTTCTGCCTTGAGTTGCACGTTAATCAGATTAGCCTGTATTCTCTTCAATGGATTTTGATAATGGCTTCCAGATTCATTGGCGTTAGAGAAGGCTTTTAGAATTGAAACACTGAATTGTTCTGCTGATAGTCTTTGGAGACACTTCCATCTTTTTAAGGGATTGCTTCTGTCTAATTCTGGCAGGACCTCACCAAAAGATTGGGCCTCATACCAGCGTCATCACAATGTTGCCATGTTTCGCGTTCTATATGAAAGTACTGTGTCTTGCTTTGGAAACACCTACTCACTTTGTTATAGCCATGCAACATGAATGCAGATTACACTGATTCTACTTGTTACAAATTGGAGAAAGTATTTAATAAATCCTGTTAATTTTTATACTGACAATAAAAAATGTTTCTACAGATATTAATGTTAACAAGACAAAATAAATGTCACGCAGCTTATTTTTTTAAGACTCGTGTCTCACCAAATGGTTTCCTGTGCTTGGAGGTGTTGACTCAGTGCTGTTTGGTGTGATGGCATGAAAGGCAGGGCTGGGAAGGTTCATTGTTGGCTACAAACTGGTGCCTTGCCACAGGGATTGGCCGGGACCAGCAGTACCTGGGACAGGTGGATCGGGTGGGAAATCAGGGGAGGTGGGTTTCCGCTCTGGCTGTGTTGCTTCCCGGGACCTCGAAGGTGTCGTCGTATCTTTCTGGGTTTTATTTATTTATTTATTTATTTTTTAAAAGATTTTGTTTATTTATTTGACAGAGACAGAGTGAGAGAGGGAACACAAGCAGGGGGAGTGGGAGAGGGAGAAGCAGGCTTCCCGCAGAGCAGGGAGCCCGATGCGGGGCTCGATCCCAGGACCCTGGGATCACGACCTGAAGGCAGACGCTTAATGACTGAGCCACCCAGGTGCCCCTCTTTCTGGGTTTTAACTTTTGGAAAAGCAAACGAGGGATGGCATGGGCAAAGCTTTGCAAACAGGGAGGTGTCCTGCGGATGGCAGGTGCTATGAGTGGAGGGGTTCAGATGATCTGGCTACTGGGAAGGGATCTTGAAGCCTTGTAGGCTGGCTTCCTCCTGATGTACAGGGAGTAGAATTGGCTTCAACATTTCAAAAAGAGAGCTTGAACAAATCTTAAAATAATTTGACCTATTTCCAGGCCACCAAGAATCTGAAGAGGGAAGTGGTGTTTTGCCTGCTAACAATGTGAATTTATGATTCAAGGCCCCATTGTATCTGCTTGCCAGCCTCCATATCAGGAAAGGGAGACCGAAATAGCCCGAATTCGTCCAAACTTCAGCCATGCTCTCAGAACCATATGGTTACAAAGTGCCACATTGAGGCTCTTCACTGGGTTGGAGGCCATTAGTAGCGAAATGAGGGTCTGGCCAGCCATCTGGAGGGTAACCCGTTGTCCTGGGAGAATAACTGATGTGCATTTTATGCTTGTGAGACTGAGGGAGCAGCTTTCTAGGAGACCATGTAGATTAGAATACCGTACTGGCTGTTGGCCGTTTTGGTTTTTGAATTATTTTGAAAGATTGGACATCCAGAGGAAGAAGTCAGTAAGGTGCATGAGAAGAATGAGAAACACTTCTTTTTTGAGCTCTGCCCCCCAAATAAATAGATGGAAGCAGGGTGGGATAGGATCCTGGAGCTTATGGTTCCCCTCCCGCCCCCCTGCCCCGCCACCAGACCTAAGGAAATTAGTTGAACCACAATGTGATTGGCACCGTGATGTGAGATCAGTTCACTTACAAAGAACCAAAAATCTCTGGCATCTCCCTGAGAAGTGGGTAGTGCCTGGCTCTTCCGTCTCCAGCTGGAAAGGGTGGTAGTCAAGAGGCTGGTGATGGGCTCGGGCAGAAAGTTAACTGGTGATGGGCTCGGGCAGGCTGGGGAGGATGGAGGAGCAGGACAGAAATGGGGCCTTCCAGAGAGTTCTGTGGATTTCTTTGGGACTGGGCTTACCTTCTCTACTGCTCAGCCTCTCAATCCCTCTTGACCTCAGGAAGCTTCCCTCCATCGAAAGTTCCTTGATCCCACACACAGGGAAGTAAAACACGCAGTTACAGTCAAACCTCTGAGGACCCAACCACCAATCCGGAAACAAGAACTTGGTCTGTGTGCGAGCTTGTACTGTAGTTGAGGCTCCAGAAGGGTGGAGAAACAGAGGTCTCCGCTATTACAATAGGTCAGGAACTGGAGGTTCCTGAGGGTCACATGGCTGGGAATGGTCTAATGCAGCCTTATGCAGTAGAGGATGGTGGGTTGAGACAGATTTGGATTGGTTTATTTCTTAAAGCTGGGTGATGTTGGGCAAGTCAGAGATTCTATCTGGACAGTCCTTTCCTCAACTGCAAAACTAGTTATCACCAGCCTCCTGGTCTTAACAGTGAGGACTACCTATAGGAGCTTAGCTCAGCTCTGGCATACCATACTCAATAGTGTTCTAAGAATTTGTTTTTAACATTTGTGATTTTTTTTTTTAGTATATTCACAAGGTTATGCAACCATCGCCACCATCTAATTCCAGAACATTTTCATTACTCCAAAAGGAAGCCCTGTACCAATTAGCAATCACTTCCCACTTTCCTTTTCCCTTCGAGCCCTGAAACCATCACTCTGCTTCCTGTCTAATGGAATGGTACAATATATGGTCTTCTGTGTTTGGCCATTCTTTCACTTAGCCTAATGTATTCAGGACTCACCCATTTTATAGTATTTCTTAGTACTTCATTCCCATTTTTTTAAAAAAGATTCATTTATTAGAGAGAGAGAGAGGACGAGTGGGGCGGTGGAGGCAGAGGGAAAGGGAGAAGCAGGCTCCCCACTGAACAGGGAGCCCGATGCGGGGCTCGATCCCAGGATCCCCAGATCATGACCTGAGCCAAAGGCAGACGCTTAACCGACTGAGCCACCCAGGTGCTCACTTCATTCCTCTGTTGCCAAATTATATTCTGTTGTGTGAAAATAGACACATTTTGTTTTTCTGTTCATTGGTTGATGGACATTTGGATCTCCACTTTGTGGCTATTAGGAATAGTGCTGCTATGCACACTCTTGGACAAGTTTTTGTGTGGACGTATGTTTTCACTTCTTTTGGGTCCACGCCTGGCAGAGGAATTGCTGGGACATGTGATAACTGTGTTTAACCTTTTGAGGAGCTGCCACATTGTTTCCAAAGTGGTTGCACTGTTGTACATTCTCACTAGCAATGTACAATGTAGCAATTTCTACATATCCTTGCCAACATTTGTTATTGTCGGTATTTTTTATTATAGCCATCCTAGTAGGTGTGAAGTGTCTTCCTAAGAATTTAATAGCTGAAGAGATACCACTCCGATCATGAATCAAAGATACAGAATACCTTACTGGGTTTTCTAGAACAAAACACTTAGCTTCAAATAATTGGCCAGCTTTTGCACTTAGAAAATGGCCAAGATAACTGAGGAGGCTTCGGTGGAGCCTCATGGAGTGGAGGGGCTGAGATTGATCATTTCCTCTTGGCCGAGAAAGGAAGGAAGCACTGACATGTGATGCAAAGGAATAGACATGCTTTCTGGCTGGAATCCTTGAGTATATCTCTGTCCCGTGTCCCCAGTTTTATGAAGTCTGGTGAGCTTGAGCAATTCATTGGGACTGATTAATGCACCATTACTTACGTATGCACATCGGAGCCCTCCTTATCCAGCCTGCGTTTTGATGTTACTTATTTTTTTATGTTTTTAAAGATGAAAGCCAAGTTTATCTTCTCTCACATTTCATCCCCAGGAAGCCTTGAAATGACTTGGCGGGGCACAGACTGCAGAAGCCTTCCACGGCTTAAGCGACATTCTGGAAGGGGCCCCTCTTGTGTCCTTTCTCCCTCAGGGTTCCGGGGGTTTTGATGAGCTGTTCAAAATTGCCTCTAAGCCTTGGCTCAGAGGTCACACCAGGTACTGTAGAAAGAAGACAGTGGCTATGAGAACGATCAGTGTTGACCACCTTGCCATTATCTAGGGACGCTGGAAATAAAAGGCTGTGGATTTCTTCTAATTTGCAAAGCTGAATCCTAGAGTATGTAGCAGCTGAGTGACAGAATTGGGCTTAAAATACATATGCAGGTAAGTGATCTTTCCTCCTATGGCTCAGAACACTGCCTCCTTCTGGGCCCTGTCTTTTTAGTTTCTTTCTCTCTTCTAATTCCTTAGTTGAGGGCACTTAACCAAACCTTGCCTGAATCCCTTTCAAGTCAAAGTCTGCAGCACCATGTATTTGGAAAGGGACAGAGAACGCTTATGGATTTGTAAATTAAGAATAGAGGAGGAAACGCATTCTTATTCTGTAAATGGATGACAAATGATCTCTTTCTCAAATGATTGTTGAATCAAATGAGATTTTACCTGGGAAACACTGAACACAGTGCCTGCTACATAGCCCTCAAATATTAACAGCTGTTTACTTATTTTTTTTAAAGATTTAATTTATTAGGGGGAGAGAGAATCTCAAGCAAGACTCCCCACTGAGCATGGAGCCCGACATGGGGCTCCATCCCACAACCCTGAGATCATGGCCTGAGCTAAAACCAAGAGTCAGACGCTTAACTGACTGAGCCACCCAGGCGCACCTTAGTAGTTGTCTCTATCATTTTTTTTTTTATAGATGTAAATATACACATAGATATAGATCTAAAGACAGAAACTAAATATGTTTATTTTTATTTTTTTAAACTATTTTATTTATTTGACAGAGCGAGAGAGGGAACACAAGCAGGGGGAGTGGAGGAGGGAGAAGCAGGCCTCCCACTTAGCAGGGAGCCCCATGTGAGGCTCAATCCCAGGACCCCGAGATCATGACCTAAGCTGAAGGCAGACGCTTAATGACTGAGCCACCCAGGCGCCCCTATATATGTTTATAATTACCACTGAAGAAACTGATTCATGAGATTGCTAGACAGTTGTGAATTTCATGAGGGCGATGTCTTTTCCTACTTTTGTAAAAAAAAATATCATTGAAGTTTTAAGTCAAAGAAAGTGCTCAAAAATTTTTAAAATGAAATTATGCTTACAACATTCAACCTGTTATGTTCCCCTTTTAAACAAGAATTTGATCTATAAACTGCCAGGCAATGCCCTGTCTGTGCTTTAAGGGACAATTCAACATGTTCAGAACTGTATGGACCACGCTGCTGAATGGTTGAAGTACCACGGTCTAAAAGGCTGACCAGAACAGAAGCAAAAGTTCAGGAGGGTTTTTGCAAGGGACGCTCCTTTCCAGCTCTGCATGTGATGTTGTTACAAGCAAATCCAAATGGGTTCCGTGACAAAAGGAAATATCACATGGAAAAAACGGAGGAGGCCTGACGCAGTGTTCTCCCGGGGTTAGGGTTGTGTATTGTTTAGGGGCTGTCCCACTGAATCTTTGTGACATGAATGTAAGTTACCCA